GCTGACTCTACACCAAAGTTGCCTTGTTTTCTGTTTAAAAGACTGCTCTTTTCTGAGCACTTCCAAAGATTTATTTGTCTCACTCTGAGTCTAGGGGAATCTAACAGAAAATTGTTTGATGTTCACTATCAGGACCTAAGAAGGTAGTTACATCTGGGGCAATCGCCTTACCTTACTTCACATTGAAAAGAATTCAGAATTTTTGGGGCCAAATTATTAGGATAGGTGAACTGCATATGAAAATTCATACTTTCTGCTTTGTGTACACTTTATATAATTCCCACCCTCAATGTATCTAGAGCATGCACAGCTGGAGCTAGATTGTGCCTGCACTAGACTTTCAGGGGAGGATTCATCAATCCTACCATGTTTAAAACTACCAACAATGGCAGGTCTGGACTATCTTCTGAGCTGGAAAAAGACTGTCAGCACACCAAAAGAGACAACCCACTTCAGACCAGCTCTACTGTGGTCCCTGACTGAATGCCCATCTCTAGTCTGAGTGCCTTAGCTGCATTCCAAGAATTCATCCTTGAATTCAGACTTTGAAAGAAATTCAGGTCACAAAATCCAAGAGGGCTTTGCTATGGAAACATAAATATGTTAACTGTCCATGATTGGATTTACTGTAAATATGCATTCCTGTTACAAATTAAAACACTAATATAGATGTGCTTTTTCAGAACCAGATGCTACTTTTTGGCAGAATTCCCTGTTGACATTGAAGATCCCACTAATCTACCATAGCAGGAGCTAAGCACATTTGAGACTCCAGCTATGGAGAAGACTTCATTGTATGGATTGTTTCCATGGTGTAATTTAAGAAAGAGTAGCACAGTAGTACTGATTCAAGGCTTTGTACTGAAAGTACACTCTACTTTCTTTCTGCAGGAAGAACCTTATACCTTTTGTAATTAGCTATGCATCTATTTTCTGTTCTAGTCAGAGTCATACTACCTAGTATTCACTCTCACCTTTGAGGTTCATATGCTAATGTCCTCCTTATGAGAATCACTTGTCTTCTTAGGTGGATGTGTTCTATTGACTGGCTAGATAATGTGCCATAGCATATCCTAATGATTTGTCCCAGAATTTCCACTCTACAGTAGTTGTGTTGTAGCTCTGAATGTTAAACAAGTTGCATGCAGCATTTATGTACTGTTCACCATATGTGCAGCCACTTCTTGTGTTGCTGTCAATGGTTTTATTATTTTCTGTCTTTACCTCAAGTGTTGTACTCAATGACTAGGTCTGAAAGTGATAATTACTTCCCCACTGCAGAGACAAACTGATTTACATATTTATCAAAGGGAAACTGGATGGCTCTGAGCGTAACACAGGAACATTTGCATATTTATAACCTGAAATGTCCAAAAGCTAAAATTAAGATAGGGATGTCTTGATCTTCATTATGAGCTTGTTTTAATACAAAGGTTTTAGTTGGTGGCTTTTGTAATCAGATCAGTACATTAGAGTGAAGTATCTTTTCTTCATCATAGAAAATCAACATAGAGATTAAAATGATTGTTAGCTTGTGAATGATGGTATGCAGAATCTGCAACATGAAGTTTTCATAAGGTGAAAATCTTAGCCTTTGAGCCCTGAAGAGATGATTAACTGTGGAAAAACCTTAAACTGCTGTAGCAGAAATGGACTCCCAAGAGGGTTACTATGTAGTAAACCTATGGGTATATAGTTGAAAGGCTTCAATATATTTTCTGGGAGAAATGTGGGTTTCCAAATACTTATGCATGTAGCATTAATTTATAGGATTTTATGCATTTATTCAAAGGTTTGCCACTCACAGAGGTGAGTGCCTGGAGCTGACTACAAGTTGTGATTCTACTTAATGATGCTATTCAAAACAAAACATGAGCAGCAGTAGCAAATTCTGAACAGCAAATAAAAACAATAAAACCTCAACAACAATCAAACTGCCTCTTCTAGGCAGTGAAGTGAGGGCTTATTTTCACAGATTGATCTATTGGAGTCTTTGTTCGATAATTGTCTCAAGTTTACTCTAAGTTTCTGGATACAAAAGAGGCATGTGAAAGTTTACTGGAGTTGGAAAAGAGTGTTACATTAATAGGAATTTCCTTTAACGTCAACTGTCTTTTTCTGAGACAGATCCTTAACCCTCCTTCTGAAACATGTTTTGTCTTTGAATCTGGCAAACTGCTTTTTAAATCTTTCCTCACAAGTAGAGAGACTGTTTTTTCTAATGCCTAGATTACACATGTACCATATTTTAAACACACTTTCAGCAATACTCTAGATTATTTTGAATTAATACAAATAATATTTTTTCCTATTGACTTGAAATGACAGTAAACTAATTTTTGAATTAAATGCATATGTTCATATACTTGCTTGACTAAATCTTTGAACACTTCCAAATCACTAACACGTTTGTAAATATATAATTGTTTTTCAGTGTTTGCACCTTGTTTACAAATGAATAGTCATTTTTTATAAACCGTATCTCTTCATGTATATGCGTACAGTAGGAGCTTTGCATGAGTCAAAATTCAGTAATTATGATCATCGTTAGCAAGGCTGGTTCAGCTACCAATCAGGCTGTGCTGGAGAAGTTGAAAAGTGGCATGGTGCTCTGTTTCCATGCAAAGAACAGTCAATTGCTCTTCTCACTTTCACATGGCTATCGCTCCATTGAAATTTGCATTTTCAAATTCAGAATGAAACAATTCTTTTTAATTTTACACAGCTTGAAGCAAGAATGGAGAGCAGAATATAGAGAGCACTCCTCACTATATTTCACAAGAAGCTTCATTTAAATTTTGGAACACTGATGTACCAATTAAAATAAGTAACAACACAGTCCTCAAGCTGTTTTGTATCTTAAAAAAATATAAATGGAAAAAAAAAGTCCAATGATCTAACACCTTTGTCTGCTACAATGTTAGTCAGCTACATTGATACATTCCTATAATGGCAGAGGTAGGAATAGTTTGATCTGAAATCCTAGCTGCTAAATAGCTGCAGAAACTATGGAGCTCCTTCAGCTAGATTGATTTTGATATTTGGAAATGTTGTAAAAAAAATTAACTGGTACCATCCACATAGATCAGTACTGCAGCTAATTTTTCAGAATGCAGCTTTCAAGCAAGGTATTTTAATTTAAACTCTTTCCATTTTTATTGATAATTTCCTACTCTGGGGATAGTAAGCTATAGTTGCTTGAACAGAGCCATGGTTTTCCTGATGTTTTGGCCTATTCATCCTACAGTTTCATATTCTGTATAAACCCTTGACATCCAAAAATCCTATTGAAATTTGTATTGCTTTCAGAAGCCTGCAATAAAACTCACAGGGGACACTAAGCCAGCTGAAGCCCCATTCTTCTAACTCAAGAGCACATGATGTACAACATACTTCAAATCATATTTTATGGGTGAAGCAATACAATTTTGCCATCATCTCTTACACAGACATCATTTATCTGTTCACCACGATCATTAAAGTGTGTTGTTCATGGAGTTGCATGTCTAGCCTTTTGGGTACAATTCATCTTATTGTCCTTGATGTCTAATATGAAAGCATTTAGTTTTTAGTTATTTGCCTATCTTCTCTTTTTTAGTCAATAGGTAAGAAAAGGTCTTTTTGCAGCTGTGATTCACCTCATCCAAGGCAGCTAAAATAACTGCCATTGCCTGGGAATATTTATACATCAATTTTAACTTTATTCTAAAGTCTCTGAAATATACAGAAGTAGTGAGAATGAAGGAGTTAAAATTGCCAAAAAAATACTTGTAAGAAAAAAAGGGTATGTTTGTCTTCATGATAGTATTTGCTTCCAAAATTCATATAATATTGAACATGAATGATAACTATCCACAGACATCCAAAATGCATCTTTGCATTTTTTTTGCACTGGTTACTATTTAGAAATACTGGTAAGTGAATGTATTTGTTGTGTTAGTGGGAGTCACATCATTCAAATGCACTTAAATGTGGCTTATCTCCTGGTTGCACACACTTTGCTGTTAATTTCCAGTTTTCATTCTAGTAGGTGCCAGTGTTCAAGATCAAAATAGAAACGGAAGGTTTGTTTGTGAGTGTTTTGTGACTGCCATACTCTGACAATACTGTTTTTTGAATTACCATTATTAGTCTATCTGTACAGAAAAATGTTGCTGCTGAGATAAATTTTCATTTTATCATTCATTAATTAAACCTAATGTAGTCAATCCTTTGTGTTTAAAAACCCCTTTGAAGGAAGTTAAGTTTTACCATTGAGTTTAACAACTTTTGGAGGAGAATTTTATATGGCTGGGTTTTTTCCCAAAATGGGAATCATTTGAGTGTCAGAATTTTATGTTTTTTTTCAGAGTAAGTCCAGTTACTCAACCTCATTTAGAAAAAAGTCATTATAATGTCTTAATTTTTATATTAATTTTTAAATTTCAATTTAATTATCTGTGATAGCGAGACAATTTTCATTGCTTCTCGTATCTTCCCAAATTAGTTGGGAAATCAAGGTGGCCATTATTGAATGATTGCCAATGCCTTTGATCACCAGAGATCATTTAATGTTATATATTGAGTGTCATTCTCATTTTCTTTTCATTTTGTTTAATATACAAGATTAATTTGAAAGTTCAATTTCATCATGGAACATGATGTATGTAAAAAAATACTGTTGTGCACATCACTGCACTTATATTTCTTTGCACAATACTATTTATTATTATTGTCATTGTATCAAAAAATCATAGCTTGATATAGGTTGGGAGGGAACTCTGGAGGTCATGTGGCTGAATACCTACACATAATTTCCTAATTTATCTTTATACTTTACCTTTTTATTATCATTGACACATTTCTAAGAGATATTGTAATCACTTAGCAAGTACATTCTCCAAACAATTTCAGAAGCCAATGGGAAATTGCCTCTTTTCTTTTCTAAGTCCACCTTATGCAGCAAGCGCATGGCTTGTCAGATGGATCTACATGATTTTCTTTCAACCCACCACTTTTAAAATGTCAGCCTTTGTAACAGATTTTCTCAGCTCTGTTGGGAAATTTCAACTCCCACAAGGCTTCAAAATTTACATAAACAAATTCTCCTACTCTTACATTTCTTCTTTCCTCCTACTTTACAAACAAAATTAACAGGTATCTACTTAAATTTAGTGGCTGATGTTCTTTTACTCATGACACAATCATTTGAAAAATTAAGACAGTCAACCTTTTCAAAAGACAATTTTAGAATGATATAATATTAAAAGGCAACTAGAAATAGTAGCAATAAAGTAAGGTAATTACTCCTTATCCAGAAAAAGAGCATAGCTACAGAAACAGTGATCTGAAAACCATTTAGAAGCCTCTGTATTTCAAAGTTCTTATCTCATCCTCTTTGACACAATAATTGGGCATCAGATGATGAATTAATTCTTAGTGGACAGGTTAGCAAATCAAAATTAACATTCAAATTGGGCCATTCTTGGATGCTTAAGTAAAAGAATAAAGATAAAGTGGTTGTGAAGACAGAATTAACTTTATATGTTCTGAGATCCCTAAAGGACAGGTTCATTGTCAGGCAGATGTGAAGAATTATATTCTTAAGCTTTGGTCATTTTCCAGGACCAATAATTTTAGATTACTAATCAGTATAAAATTCACTGGAGCAAGTTACAAAGAGCAGCTTTGCTCTCATTCATACAGAAACACACTTTATAGAATTCAGTCTAAGTAGATTTCAGTGTAATTCATATAACTGCAAGGCCCTCCACAAAAGTAGTGTGAGGAACCCTTTGTAAAAATGAAACACGAGCTCAAGGTGCCTAAGAGGTACAAAACACATTCCTGTGGATACTTTTTTTAAATGTGTGTACCTGGGTGTGTTTATTACTTTGCACATTCTGAGTTTAGTTATTTTTCTTGAGATATTAAGGGCTAATTATTAGGTTTGATAATGAAACCACACATGCTTCAAAGGTGGTATGTACATTCTCTTGCCTTTTTTTTTGTCTTGCTGTAAAACTCACATTGAGATTTTTGCCATGCTGCCTCTATAGGTTGCTAGGCAGCAAGGCTTTACCCCCAAACTGTGAGACCTACTCTGCATGCTGGGCTCTTTCCTCAGTGGCTTGAATCTTCTTGCTAAGGGATTTCCTTGATTAAGAGCAACTGCTTCAAAAAGTCACGTGCTCTCTGTGGATTAGCCCTTTTCTCTCATGTGCACAAATCCTCTCACATTGTACTTCAAGAAACCCTGCAGTCGTGGTCTCAATTGCTAGAAGCCCTGTGTGGTTTTGCCCTACTGTGTGCTGAACGTGCCAATTGCTGTGTATAAGAGTTAATGTGAAAGGTGATCTCAAAGAGGCATAAGGACACAAATATTTATATGTGCCAAGGCTAATGAAAAAGTAATTTGAAGTCCCCAGCATCCAGAGGAGGGCAACTCTCCAGACAAGGCTGGAGAGGGGCTATGAGGAATGACTGAGGAAGCTGGGGTTGTTTAGCCTGGAGAAAAGGAGACTCAGGGGTGACCTTACCACTCTCTACAACTTCCTGAAAAGTGATTGTAGTCAGGTGGGGATTGGTCTCTTTCTCCAGGCAGCAACTTGTTGCCGTAATTATGTCAAGACGGACATAACTGGCACCAACACCAGTCTTTCATTAAAAACTTTTCATGCCTTCTTTTAGGCAGCTCTGACTCCTTTCCTCATTAGCTGCTTCACACAGCACTGACTCCTTTTCTTACAGGCAGCTCCACACAGCACTGACTCCTCTCCTCTCTGCAAGTTTCCTTCTTTCTTCTGCATGACTGGCTAACCCCAACCTGTCCCATACCCAGCCACCAGCCCTGTCTGTCCCTCACATCTTCTTACCTTATCTGTCCCTTGCACAGCCTTGTGTCCCTTACCCCCTCACAGCACAGCCAGCACACTGAACCTCAAACTTCAACTCATGGCCAGCTAGCCCACTCTTTTATAACACCCATCCTCATTGGACAGGCAAAGCTATTTCCAACCTCAGTAATCAGTACAGCTGTAATTCATTGGGAAAGATTGCCGTCTGCACTAACTTTACAAACTATTCTCCTACACTTAAAAACTATTCTACTACAATAACTGACAGAACAAGAGGACATGGTCTTAAGCTATGCCAGGCAAATTTACGTTAGACATCAGAAAAAAAATTCTTCACTGAAAGAGTGATTGGGCACTAGAATTGTCTGCCCGGGGAGGTGGTGGAGTCACCCTCCTTGGGCATGAAAAAAGATTGGATGTGGCACTCAGTGCCATGGTTTACTTGATGAGGAAGTGCTAGGTTAGGTCATAGGTTGGACTTGATGATCTCAAAGGTCTTTTCCAATGTAGTTCATTCTGTGATTCTTAAAGCTGTCCTTTGAATTTTATTTTTTTTATTATTTTTTTTCCAACTAGGGCAAATTCTGGATGTGCTGGAGAAGCATAATCTGAGTGACAAAACTCTTGTATACTTTACATCTGACCAAGGAGCTCATGTTGAAGAAATCTCCAGTGCTGGAGAAGTCCATGGAGGATACAATGGCATATATAAAGGTGAATATTCTCTGATTGTTCTTGAAAAATGCAAGAAGAAAGCATCTCCTTGGGTTTGCACCAAAGCTGTAATGTACTCTGTGGCCAAGATCAAAATCTTTGATCTAATCGAAATAAAGAATGTTTGTTTTTATTCTTTTTAATGACATTCAGTGAGTAATCTGTTTATAAGAGATTAGTTTCTTCTCATTCTTTTACTAGGTAGAGTCTGTATAATTTGTTTTCCACTCTTATTTCAGGGGTCAAGACCAATGAAATCCGGTAATTTTTGGAAAGTCATTCACACAACTTGAAACTTTTAGTTGTAGAGATAACAGAGTAAATTTTCCTTAGTTTTGGGGGTTTTTTTTGGTTTTTTAAATATATATATATATATAGTATCACAGAACTACTCATAGTAGTTGAGCCTGGAAGGCATCTCTCAAGGTCTGCAGTCCCAGCCCCTGCAGAGCAGGGTTAGCTATAGCACGTTGCTCAGGATTGTATCCAGTCAAGTTATGATGAAAATCTCCAGTAATGGAAGTTTTATAGCCTCCTTGGGCAATTTTCTCTAGTGTTTGGTCGAACTCACCATAAAAAAATCCCCCTTTTTCTTATGTTTAAATGGAGTTTTCTGTGGTTAGTTGGTGCCCATTGCCTCTTGTCCTGTCAGTGGCCGCCCACTGAAAAGAGTCTAGCTCTGTCCTCTTTACTCAGATAAATCCATGTAATTCCTACAGATGGATAAGATCCTGGTAAGCATTTTCTTCTCCAGGATGAATATCTCTCTCAGCCTCTCCTTATATATTGAATGCTCCAATTGCTTAATCATTCATCACCTTCCTTCAAACTCATTCCAGTATGCCCATGTACCTTGTACTGGGGTGTTCTGCACGTGGACCCAGTGCTCCAGGTATGTCTCAGCAGTGCTGAGCAGAGAACAGAACTTGCCGGAAGCATTCTTCCTAATGCAGCCCAGAGTGATGTTGTCCTTCCTTGCCAGAAGGGCTCCTTGCTGGCTCATATTCAGCTGGTTGCTCATTAGAATCCTCCAGTCCCTCTCTGCAGAGCTGCTTTCCAGCCAGTTACTCCCCAGCCTTTGCTTTGTTAGAGGTTACTGCTGTGAAGATGCAGGACTTGGTATTTCCTTTGCTGAATTTAATGGGGTTCTTTTTGGCCCATTTCTCCAAGCCTATCAAAGTCCCTTTGGATGGTAACACAATCTTCTACTCTTGCCAGATTTATATCACCTGCAAGACTACAAAAAGGGAAAAATTCAGGCATATAGAGTAAGCAATAACCATACAGAGAGGATTTCAAGCAAGAGGACCCCACAGTTTTTAGTCAGTAGATATCTGTCTGAGAAATTTTAAGAGAGCTTCAAAGGAAATGTTAGACAAGAAAAACAAGGAATGCCAAAGTCATGAGGTCTATCTATCAGATGGGTCCCCTTGGGCTAACACCAAAGTGAAATGTATCTTGAATGTTAGCACATAGACCTTGCATAGTGATTTAAGTAATTAAGGAACCATATGGTTACATATCTGTAGCCGTAGGCACAGCCTGAGGTGTTTTAGAAGCTCTAAAAAATATTTGCCTTCTAGAGTGCCAGACATAAGGTACAGGATAAATTATGAGGAAGGAAAAAATACACTTGGGAATATTTCTTCTTGAGGAACTTTGATTAAATGGAGTCTTTTTTCTCAAGCCTTGCAAAATTTTTTTTCTTAGTTACAGTGCAGAGAAAAACTTGAAATAGATCTTACCTGGATTAAGAAAAAAATCTGATTGATAGGTTTAGTTGGGTAGTAATAGGGCTTCTTTTTTTTAAAAAAAGGAAAATTTGAGTGGTTTACAGTTAACATCTCTGCTGTGCTGACAAGTGAATTAGAAAATAATCACAATGTAAGAAAATTATTATTTGATGAGAGACATTCTTAATAAAATAAAAAGAAGTTAGAAGACCCATGCAATTAGCTGAATATACTTTCAACATTTAAAAATATGAGTTCTGCTTTATATTCCACTCCCTCTATCTCAGTATCAGTCCTGAATTTAACAGGTATATTATACATCATTTTCAAAAGGACTTAAGTAGAAATAATCAATTAATTGCATAACTAGCAATTTTCATACATAGGAATTTATTCATATTAAAAGCCATGTGTGATGAAAAGTGTCTGTACATCTCTGGCAGAATTAGTGACAACCAGACCTGTGAAGCCCCACGACTCAAGCACTGGTATAGCAATGTGCCTAAAAAAGCAAAAGGAAAATCTTTGTGCTGCTTGTGCTTATGTGTGCACACACCAGGAATTTGCTTCCTGTGGTGTGTAGTTTAAAAACCTGTGAGACGCACACATCCTTCCTCCCTCCCTGTCTCTGTTAGTCAATCTCCACTACTTATATTTTTGTATCTAAGTGCTGTATGAATGCAAATATGGATCAAGCCACTTAACCTTCTTGTCAGAGCTGGAGCAGTATGCTCAGCAATAATTGGTTCTGCTCTAAAATCAAAAGCTCTCAACCAATCTCCACAATTCTAACTCACTAATTTCTCTTGATACCTAGCCAAATAAGCACCAATAATAAAATTTAAGAGGGTTTTGGAGAGTTAAGCTAGTGCTGCAAAATTCAATGCAAAAGGGGAAATTGCTGTTTGAAGGTTTTATTATACTGGATTCTAATGAAAGAACAGTTCACCATAAATTTGGATAGCCCTTGAAATTAGAAACCAGATCTAACACAGTATTTAAACAATTGCTGTCGTACACAGTCTGGTTTATTTCTGTAGTATTCCTTTCAGAAGACATTATATAGTAAAACTGAAGTGATGGATCAAAATCTCTTTCCAGTGCCCTTTTTCTGATAGTTGGTTATCAGGATCTGTGCAGTAAATAAAATCCCTAAGAAAATCCTAATCTTAGAGAGTATGACCTTGGTTTAAGATGTGAATCCTGACAATTTAGATTCTACAAAGATTCTTAACATTAATTATATGCATTTTTCTCATATAAAGATGAATTTACACTTTGAGTCTTTCTAAAGTCTGTGTATAACCTATATCACTTGTCCATGAGAACACAGTGTTTTCATTTACTATTTTGAAATGGGACAGTTGCAAATTGCACGGAACATCTTGAAGTTCAATAACATTTCCTCATTGATATAGCATAAAGGAGTAAAAAGTTTTAAATCTTTCCTAGCTTAGATTTCTTTTGTAAACTTTTATGGTGCTTCTTTGCAGAGGCAAAATTCAGAATATAATTATCTCTTCCATCTCTCTTACAATATTTAACTGGTGAATTTTTACTTGTCCCTAATTTCCTGTTATTCTCCCATGGGACTTACTTCCCTTTCAAAATTGAAGGAAATATACTAATATAGTAAGGGGCTTAACACAGTGTAACATCAAGGTAGCTTACTATTGTTTTGGGGAATTTTTACAAAGGGTCACAGGCTGTTTGTTTTCTCTTTTTGTTTCCTGATCGTTAAGACATATTTTGATTCATGACAATCCTTTGTCTCCTAACCCATGATTAATGTTCCAGTAACTTTTCCTGAAGGTCTTTGTCAAAGATCTTTCAAAGGTTTAAATCTAGATACAGCATCTAAAACAAAAAAATAGTGGCTATTTTAGTTAGAACTTCTTCTCAACAACTGAAGGCCTTCTTACCTGAACTCATGTAGTACCCCTGGGATTTGTAGGAGATACTATTAATAATTTAATTAAATGAAAAATGTTACTGTTTAATAATACATTGATATTTACAATTTTATATTGAAATATGGAAAGTAATAGGTGTAACTCAAGTATCTTCTTAAAACTTTCTATGTAATTTTTCCAGATTTTTTTTTCAGATTTATGATATTTTTATATACTGCAGTGATAAGTTAGTTCAGCAGGGTTTCTTGAAGCTGTTAATAAACCTTTTCCTTCCTGTAAGCCACAGAGAAATCAAGCTGCCATTGCTTTGGCCCCAGGAATCATGCTGTGGCATATCTAGTGATATTTGTTGGAGTTTACTTTTGACTTGAAAAAAAGTACCTTTTTCAAAGGTACTGTATTTTTATATTCTCTCTGAAGTGATCCAGATTTTTAAATAATCAACCTATCTTGTAATTTTGACTGAAACAAAGTATCCTCAGAGATAATTTCATTTGATTGGAAGATATGTTAAATGAGAAACCCCCAAATGAGCCATGTCTGTTCTATTCACCTGGACAAGAATAGCTCAGAGTAAAAGTTAACAAAAACAGTACATAAAACAAGTTTAAAATCAGTAAAACAAAAAGTAAACTTGTCATTGAAAATAAATTGTTGTTCAACCGTTTTATAAAGTAGGCAATAAAAATCAGTCTTGATTGTTGACATTTTTGGCATAAAGTCCAGTATAAATGGGCAGAATAATTAATATCTTTGTATTTCTCTATCATTCAAGAGATAAACTGGGTTTGGAAGCTTTGTTTTTAGAAGAATATATTAAGGAAAGGGTAGTATGGTTATAATCCAGGTGATTTAAGAAAGTTATTTAAAATAGTTTTCATCATTCATCATTCATAATATTAGTAGTGATTTATTGCAGTTCCCCTTTATATATCATCCTTAGTAAAAGCTCTATTGCCAGAGTTAGGTAATAGCAGTCAATTTAANGGGGGGGGGAAGACATATTCTTTTAGCTAAGATTTGAAATGAGGTTAAAATGGAAATTTGACATCATGTTGTGGATGACTGCAGAGAGTTATGTCTGTATTTTGCCTCTCCTGCAGATTTTTCAGGAAAGGTGAATGTAGACTATTGTTCAATATAACACTAAAAGGTACAACTACTCAGAAAGCGTAAATAGCTAGGCAGGAAAATACAGCCTGGTGTGTTTTGTGCTGTTTTAAAAACATTTTTAGAAGAACAAAAATAACACAAAGGTAGGTTGCCTAGTGTTTGCAAGGCATACAGTCTACTAGTCGCCATCTTTTCTCTGTTTCTATTTTGTCAAGTCTGAGCAAAATACGAAACTTGTGAACCAGGTCCTTAAATATCAAGAGATTTTGTTTCAAAATAATGACATTTTGTGGATTTTTTAAAAATCGTATTAGCCATTTAGCTGTTTGCCACATGTTTCAAGCATCTGTTGTAAGACCTTGGTTTCTTTTTTCTTTAAGGAATAAAGAATGCAGATATCTTGAAGTTTAACAGCTAGAGTTTTAAAGATGATAAATGTCCAGGGATTTGTAATCATGTAATGGCATTAAGCACCTGCAGTCACTAAGCACAATTCTAATAAAAATGAACACCACGTAAGCAGAGATAATAGAAGACAGTCTTCTGCAATGACCTGTAATTCCTGCCCTGGTTCCCTGCTATTCCCAGTCTCCAGAGATGTAAAAAAAAATTCTCCAATTAGCCTTTTGAAAGGAAAACAGCAGTCACTTCTTCATAGATGTAAGTGAGGAGAAAGCCCTGCTGTGGAATCCATTTTGCTTTTTCTGCCATACAGCAGGGCATCAGAGTTTGTGGAGTGTTCCTTTGTGCTTGGGTAATGTGCAATTTTTCTGTCCTTTTCTGCTGATTCAAGAAAATTGTACTGTGAACCTAAGAGCTGTGAAAGCGACCAAATATCTAGGTTTTAAGAGTTGCAACATGTGTGAGAATCAGATTTACCACTTTGAAATTTCTCTGTCTTCAGATTACACAGGAGACAGCAGTATGACTAGACTTTATTTGAACATCCAGTCCAGCTAGCACTCTTACTAGATTCAGACAGGCACAGAGAAATAAAAGGAACATTATACCTAAAGCTACCTAAGATATAGATCAATTCTTAGTGTTTTCTGTCTGTTGATACCGTTCAGCCATAAAGCTGCTGTCATGTGTACACAGAATTAGGATCTGGCTCATGAACTAAATCGCCTCCCTGGTGTGGCTGTTCACTAAAAGTATGTTAATTAGAGGATATCTGTAATTTTATGGCCTTATGCTTGGATTTTTATTTGGATTTAACAACTCCCACTCAACAGGATTTTCTATGCACCAGAGCTCAGTCAGGTTATTAATCTTTCCTGTTGTGTCACACCTAATTCCCACCAAACTTTTCTGACATCAGACTAGACGTGTCCCTGACTACCCAGCATTATGAATTCGGATAAAGCCAGTGAAAAAAATTAAGGAAAAATCTGGTATAACATAGAATCATGTGCTGATGATTATTCAGTCACAAAAAAAGGAAAAGGTAAATATATACAAAAAAGAGTTGTCTGTCTTGATGTTACTACTTACCTTTACAAATAGTGAAAATCCTGTAGAAAACCAGCTAGATTCTGAACCCCATTTGCTGAAATGGAAAAGATCATTGAGAAGTCAGAAAAATAGACAGCATATATAACAAGGCCTGGGGTTAATACTAAAGGTATTGACGTCTATGAGGTGTTTTGGATGTTCAAGATTCTGAGGAAATAGAGCTGTTGAAATATTTTGTCGCAGTATTTTTTCTTTTTTCTTTTTTTTTTTCCTTGAAAAAGGGAGATGCAGGAAAAATATAGGAAAAAACAATGTAATAGTTTTGAGTGACCCATTAATTGCTATTTGATTCATTTAATGGCAAAAGTCCAACCCATATATTCCCGTTTTTCCAGACATTTTAATTTTATAAAATAATCTCAGTTTATTTCCAAATGCCCCTGACCATGTTTAACCATACCCAAAACCCATCTATTTAACAAAGATTTCTTTTTCAAGTGATGTATTAATTTCAAAGGTCACCTTGAAATGCTCTACATAGTCACAACTGTGCTGGGTATTGGTAGTAGCATTTGGGATGCCTCTTCATACAATCATGTCAGTTATTCAGTAATGGTGAACAAACTGTCATAAACTCGTTGCCCTTCTGCAAAAGGTGTTGGGAGGACTGGGCATTGATGGATCTTGTAGAAACTGTACATGACTTCAAGTCACTGTTGAATGCAATCAGTTGATAGTGTATTTGATGCAACTGGTTTAGAACACAGAAATTTCTTCAGAGTATCCTGAAAGTTATCATCACTGAAGTGGATTTCTTTCTAATGCATTGAATTGGAGAATTCAGTACCATACTTAAATTAGTACTTTCTTCTATATAAAGTCATTAAGCACTATTTTTAATAAAATATTGCATGCCTTATCTGCGTTCATACCTCAGACATCTAGGTATAGCTCGTTTATTTGGATTCTTGTTTATTGGTCATATGTTCATATATCTATGGGGCACACTATCTAGGCCAATTCCTATGTCAAGATTCCAGTGAAGTGCTTTTTAATCTCCTACAACTACTTATTTTGATGTCATTTAAATGCATATTATAAGCTATGTCTAATACATGTTGGTAAATTTACATTGAGAAAGTACTACAGAAAGTAGAATATCTAGAAAATTAAGAATGAGATAAATGCGTCTAATGGAAAGATTCTAGCTAGGCAGAATGTTTAATATTTAGAAATTGAATCGTATGGGGTGGCATTATCTAAGAAGAAATTGATTTCTCAGCAAACAAAACTATTTTTTTCAGGTGGAAAATCAACGAACTGGGAAGGAGGTATTCGTGTGCCAGGTCTTCTCCGTTGGCCTGGAGTGGTACAGGCTGGTGCCTATATTGATGAGCCAACGAGTAACATGGATATATTTCCTACCATAGTTAAACTTGCAGATGCACAGTTACCCTCTGACAGGTATGCTCTGTAGTCATCTCTGTTTTAGAGAAAGTGTCATGAGTGTTTTATACATTCTAGTGATACCTAGTAAGATATAAGAATAAGAAACTAGGTTTTATACTTGCAATATTATGTTGTCTCTTTTCATATTGGCATACTGATAATATTTTACAGAAATATTGTATGTAAGTACAGCTTAACTCACAGAACAAGCACCAAGCACCAAAAAGATAATAGGATACCATCAGAGCAATGCACTGTCAAATCAAACTTGGAATTACTTACTAAAAGCAAAGATGAATGTATCAAAATGGGTTCTGTTCTGCATGAATGAATTTGGTGGAAAACAAAACTTTAAGTGTAAATTACTTCAAACTTCATGAGCTTAGCCTTGTCCTGCTTAATATCACAAAACACATCAAAATGCCAGATAGGCTTTTCTCACCATTTTGTTTGGGGGATTTTTGTTGTGGTTTTTTTGTTTGTTTGTTGTGGGTTTTTTTGTTTGTTTGTTTTGGTTTTTGTGTTTTTGTTTGTTTTATTTTGATTTTTTGTTTGTTTTTTTGTTTTTGTTTTGGTTGGTTGGTTTTTGGTTTTTTTCTGTACCTAGTTCATCAAATAATTCCTTACTGAGTTTTGGAGTGTGATAAGAAAAGCCACTGGACTTCCACAATTCATAAGATGCTCTCCTGACACTGCTACATCCCCAGGCTTTATCTTGTTTGGGAGATACACAGTCTCAGTGGCAAGGTGCCTCTGCCTAAAAGCTGTTGCTATCCAAATCCAGTAAGTGGAGAAACCTGTTCATATGCATATGCTTTGAGCACATATATGACTCACAAACAGCTTTTTGAGCACAAGGCATCAAGAATCCACATGGGGAAGCCCAGTGGTGAGCAGAGTCACTCTGCTAATGATTATTCATTGGGTGCTTGAAGGAAATGGCAGGGCAGGACAAGTCTAAGGCATGAAAGATTAGTCAGGTTGGTCCTGAGAGATGCTCTACAAGCAGTAATTCTGTTGAATCTCAGAAGTTCTGATTGTTCTTTATGTGGCAGATCTTATGCATTTTGTTTTCATACTGCTTGAGTGAATGTACTGATGTTTTCTTTGATCTCTGTTATAGAAATTCAAATATACTTGTGTAACTTCCACTTGTAGGTTGCTCCACTGTGATTCTTCTGTGTTAGACTGATGCCAAAAGTATTGCTTCATCTTAGATCATGGACTAGCTTGAAGTATTTTTTGTTCCAGCAGCTGAGTTCTTATAGCTCCATTGAATTCTTGCTGAGAAATAAGAAAAAGTAATATAATTAATATTCTGTCACTGTGAGGGAGCAGGTTAAAAAGGAATGAAAGAGGTGCTCCTAGTTAAAGAAATTAGTAATTGGAAAGAAAAGTCTTGTCTATTCCTCTGAATCCAGCAGCTGTAGCAATGCTTGAGTACTGGAGACATTTTTCTAGAGTTGCCTTTTTCCCATCAAAAGGCTCTAGAACAGGAAGTGTTCAATAGACATGCATCTGTTAATGAGCAAGCTTGCAAGCAAGAGTCTGGTACTTGGACAAGAAAACATGAAAATCTGAGTGGGAAAGACTGTTTCAACAGACCCCCACAGACAGGGATTCACCCAGGTGACAGTTATCAGACAAGACAGCTTTCAAAATTCCAGGAAGTTTTCCTGCCCATCCTTTGAGAAGAGTGCTACTCTGAATGGCTTTGTTGCATACAGTTGCTGACAAGAATTCGTGCATCACATGCGACTTAAAAAAGTAAACTTAGCACCTGTCTTGTAGTAGTTACATTAACGTGAAGAATGTTTTATGTAACGGTAATGAAATGATTTTGTATGTAAAGGTAATGAAAATCAACATAGACCTCTTAAAACTTTTTATAAGCATAAAAAAAAAATGAGAGGTTGTTCAAAATGCTTGAGAAAGAATTACTTGCTGATCTTTACATCAGCAAAAAGTAATTTCCTATAAAACTTATTGAAAAACTTGTAATTCATACAGGGTCAAAAATGCAGACTCTGATTTCTCCCCTGCCAGCTGATGTCAGCAATTCAAATGTTTAATTTAGGGAAACAGTTAAAAGTCTTGCTTGTTTTATAATTCAATTTTTATGTAAATTGACTGACTCCTTCAAAGCATGATCAAATTGTCCAGCAGCATTTAGAGAATGTATGTATATTTATGTGTATGTGTGTGTTGTAGTTGATAAATGCATATTTAAACAGTTAATTTTCAAATTTGAAATTACCATTTCTGTCTTAAATTCTGGCATACATAACATTCTAGACAGAGATATTACCACTACGTCTGGGGATGCTAGCACAGAACAACATATTTTCTCTAGTTCTAGGGTTACTTCGGCCAGACTACTCCCAAAAACCTGAAAAGTATATGTCTTGTAGCAATTTATTCGCTTCTGTCTATTCACTTTCTCAGAAGTGAAAAAAAAAAAAGAGTTGAGGGAACTATTCTTAATGGCAAAATGTAAAATTGCTTCCTTAGGTAATGTAAAACTCAAAGGGAAGAGCACCTGAAGGTTTTTCTCCAAATTGACCAATTGGAGGTGGCCATTCAAATTTAGGGTTTTTTTAAGCAGCAGATGAGCAGAGTTATAATATCTTATCAGGAAAGTGAGGTTTGAGTTCTTTCTCTGATTTTGAAATGCTTCCTTATTCAGGATTATTGATGGACATGATCTTCTACCTTTACTTCAAGGAAAATCTACTCGATCTAAGCATGAATTTCTCTTCCATTACTGCAATGCATATTTAAATGCAGTGCGCTGGCATCCAGGAAACAGTAAGTAAACTTGACTGTTCACATTTTAAATATTTAATATAATTTTTATTGCAGCTTGAAAGGAATCAGGAGGAAGCCTTGGGCTATAGTAAAAAAAAAATTGTTTAAAATATCTAGCCTGTTTCCTTCTCTTTTACTTTTGTCTTTGTTGTTACATTCCTATTCACCATTTCACTGTTTGACATTATTTTGCTGTTATATATTAATGTTACATATGAATGCGACACTCAGATCTATGGTATCTGAAAATGTCCCTTTTTAAAACCTTCCTGAGAGAGAGTCTGTGCAACAGAATGAAGTATTCAAAGTTGACTCTTACATTGTCCTAAAAATGCACAGGTAGTAGACGGTTTGCTGAATAACAGCACAAGTATTATGTCAGTCTGGCCATTTTTATTATCCAGATAGCAAAACATAGAAGAATCACTGAGTCAAAGGCATAATTTTCCAATAAATGGATATAGTATTATAGAGTCCTGCTTCATGCATTTTATGTATTACATAATTCTACTTTGTAGGAGAGGGAAAAAAGTATTTCTCACTGATTTGCTCTTTTTTAACTAACAGCTTGCTGTTTCTGGTAGAACCTTCCACATTAACCAAAGCATATTTCTCTTTCTGTAAAAATCTCTGTGCTGAATGAAGTTAAACACACATTTGTCCCATCTCAGTTGACATTGAAAGTGATGGCTTGTGCTATGGCTTCAAAAATAATGATCCAAAACAAGCTTTGGCTTAGAATTTTTTATTTAAGTGTTTTGGGAAAGGACTTGTTCAATAGTCAATATACAAACTTAAAGTATTTGGAAACTCTGTCTTCTTGGTCATCTGTAGGCTGACTCTATCTGTCATGGACTTTAAACTAGGAAAAGGGGAAATATTACATATAATATTAATTTACCATTACTGTGCCTCTATGTCTTGCATTTGATAAATGCATAAGGAGGAACCATCTGTATCTGGTGTTGGATGAAGTTATTCTGCATGAAATGAGAGAAATAGGCAGAGAAGCTGTTTTTCTCACCTTTGCAAGATGATGTAACCCTTGTCTGAGGAAAGGGCCTTCTTTATTATTCATTGAAGGTGAATGTGATGGGAAGTGAATGTGAGCAACAGTGGGAGACTAGTCTACTGTATTTACTTGATGAGCAACAGCAATGTAGATTGTGATTATTCCTTTCTCCAAGGCACTCAAATGATAAAGCCTACTCAGAACCTGGCAATAACATTTTCACAACAAGTGGACTGGCTTTTGTACGGAATGTTGTTGTGGTTTAATTCCAGACAGCAACTGAGTCTGACAGAGCCAATCTGTGGCTCTTTCTAGGATGGAGAAGAGAACTGGAAGGGTAGAAGCAAGAAGACTCATTAGTTGAGATAAAGACAGTTTAATAGATAAAGCAAAAGCCACACATATCAGCAAAGTAAAACAAGGAATTCGTTCATTATTTTCCATTAACAGGCCATCTCCAAGAATGCTAGGCTCCATCACACAAAGTGGTGGCTTGGGAAAACAGATGTCATCACTGAATATCCTCCCTTGCTTCTTATTTCTGCAATTTTCTATGCTGAATATGATGTCATTTGGTCTAGGATATGCCTTGGGTCAGTTGGGGTCAGCTGTCCCAGCAGTGCTCCCACCAAGTGCTCCTTATGGACCTCCAGCCTGATCACTGGTGGGGTGGGGAGAGAGACAGAAGAGTCTTGTCTGCTCAGTAATAAATCAAACATCCTTGTTATCTATACTGTTTTCACCACAAATGCAAAACACGGCCCCATACTAGCTACTCTGAAGAAAATTTGCTCTATTCCAGACAAAACAAGCACAAAGGGTTTTTGATATTCTGCCTACATTGTAGTGAGAGTAGACAATAGCCAGATATTCCTCTCCATTGTCTTACGTACCAGTCCTCTGTGAGGGCTTGACATCATGTTGAGCATCTTCTGCACTTCTCTGGTAATGGACTCTAACCCCGTTGTGCAACTAGACTGCTCACACCTGCATTAACCATGTAATTTCTATTAATTTCAAAGATGCACTTACTGAAGAACAAAGCAACAAGAGCTTAGAGAAGAAATCTTGCAACCGTTAAGGAAAATGTGATGTATGTGTTTATTGATTAAAGTACAAGGTAATGGTACATATATTAAGTATATGCACTTATTAATGCATATAAAATGAGATTTCTTACTGTATTTATTTTCTGAGAAGCCTCAGTGTGCATGTCAGTGACAGGTTGCATATTCCACTATTTTTTCTAGACACTCAAAAAGTAGGATTAGCTTTGATCCTCAGGAAAAATGCATACCTGAGAATTGAGAGGGAAGCTAAATTCTGCTTAGATATTTGGTTCCTTTTTAACTCCATCACCCCACAGTTCCCTTAGTAATTCCATCTTTGCCATTATTAGATTTCCACTGTGCTTCAGTCCAGTCCCCCCCTTTTTTGGTTTAATTTTTGACTCTTAAATATATATATATGAAACCAGCAAATGTAGTGTATATTAAATTTTTACCTTTCTTGCAAGTTTCTAGTCCGACTGAAGCAGGCGTGTTTCTCACATCATTCAGGGAAGGTCAGAAACTTCAGAGTGAACAATTACCATTTTGCATTTATGTATTTAGAGGCTAAGAGTTCCTCATAACCAAATCAATACACATCTTCATTAAGTTATATTAGTTAGGTCAGTTATTGCATTCACAATGTACTTTCCCCTTCATCAGTCCTTTGAAGGAGCTTTTAGAGGATGTATGCTATGCAATGATCTTCTCAAGCAAGTAATCAGAATTTAAACCTTGTGCTTTCTAGTGAGTCATGAGGAAAACAATCTCTTGGGTTCTCTTTTTTTTGTCTTTCTCAGCCACAAAAATAAGCTCACACCATTTTTTTTGTCATTTTGACATGCCTTTTACCTCATATTAGACAATAATGCACATAATTCTTCACATTCTGAATTTTTAAAAAATGAATGAAGTATCAGGCAATTTTCTTTTGCTCTCACAGACTTGTGCATGCTGATGCTTTACAGAATCATAGTTACAGAATAAGCTAAATTGGAAGGGACCCACAAGGATCATTAAGTCAAACTTGCTATAATTGCCTTAGAAACAGCCAAAATATATAGTCCTAGTCCTTGAAGGATGATTTCCTGTTATTTTGAAACCTTATAAATATTTGTAATTTAATTTTTCTGTTGAAAATACAGAGAGGAAAAAACATGTAAAAAGTACAGTGAATTCCCATTATCAGTACTTTTTCTGCACAGTTGCCTGTTGTACCATAGAAGCACCAATATATGAAAGCAACACCTTTAGAAAAATCCACTACATTTTCTTTCTTCCTAGTAGGGTGTAATCAGCTTGGTTTTTTTCAAGCATTCAGTAACTTTTTTAATCATTAGGTATTTATATTGAAAATAAAACAGATGTAGGATCTGTTTTACTTTTTGAACTGAGCCACCCAAAATTTTGTGTTGCTTTTTTGTGATGGATGTCACATCATATGTTGGCCTGTTGTAAGTCTGATCACACGTTCTTCTGCTTGAGCAAGTTGACCAGTACTTTTGTATTTGCTAACTTTATAATTTAGTATAACTGACTGTAAAAAAAAACTACCAAGAGCACTGTCTCCAGAATATTACTGGCATATGAATAAGTACTATTAAAAATGCATTGCTATGACAACTTAATTATAAGGGGAGGATTAATCAGATACAGAGCAAATCTATAGTTGAATGAAACTGCATCTTTCAGGTTGCACTGACTGTGTGCAAAATTTTGATTTGATAAGGAGGAAATATATTGCAATGCTATGTAACAAACATTGAGAAATAAAATGCAATACAGTCTGCATTATAAAGAAATAATGACCTTCGCAGTATTTTCGTACTATTGATAAAAATAGACTAATGTTTCTGATAAATGCTGGAATGACTTTACTAGCAGCACTTCACTTTTTCTATTTCAAAATGTATTTCGTTATTCAGTGGAATATGTCATTCAGTAAACAAAAGAAAAGGAGATTTTCTATGGCAAGTTCAATTGAAGCAGACAAGACTGCAGAGCCAAACTAGATTATCGTGTAAATATAATTACTTTTAAAAACAGTAGAAATTCACTGAAAAGCTTTATATAGAAATTTCCCACTTTGCATTACTTTACAAACAAGATACATTTCAATTAGTGTTTATATTGACTTTCTTGAATGTTGTGATCTACCTCAATTACTGAAATTATTTCAATCAAATTCACCAATGAGACATTCTTTCTGTAATATCACAGAGTTCACAGATATTCTGATTCCTGGCTGTTGCAATGTTCTCCGGCATCCAACAGTATTTGATGAGACATATTTTGTTCTATGGCTAGGGGTTTTAGACCCTTTCTAGTCATGGAGTTAGCCTTTTTCTACTGTATTTAGCTGAATTTAGCTGTAAAAATTTAATGTTAAAAACAAAAAATAAATGAGAGATAAATATTTAGGTTTGTAGTTTTCAGACTGAATATATAGGATAAATTTACAGAATAGTGTTTTGGGTTTTTTAAGAGGTTCCTCCAGATTTAGTTTGACTAAAGACATTGGATTCATAATAAAGAATAAAAATAAAGAATCAAAAATCTGCTTAGAAGGGTCATTTTGTAACAACTTCTGGTTTGGACAAGTGCACAACCTTTCTTGTGAAATTGAGTTAAAATAAGACCTGTTTCTGAAGAAATTAAATATGAGGAATACCTTCCACTTTTCCTCACCTCTCAAAAGCATGCTTTAAAGGGTGGTAAGCGTTACCTTATAAATTAAGGGGGCTTGTATTATTTATGGTGCCATTCTTAGCTTAATTTTTTGTAATATCACATTCGGTGTTAATAGTAAAAAACTGTAAAATGAATTAAAATGCTTAAAACACTAACTTGTGAGCACAATATTGTACTCCAAGGAAAAACACAGGAATTGGAGTTTAGACAAGTAGCAAAACCTGGAAAACTTCTATAAGGCTCTAGAA